TGATTCAGTCTTTGAAAAGGGCACTGCAGAAAAGCAGAGTATGGTTCCAGCTCTCAGGGCAGGGTTTAGAGACAAAGATGTTGGCCCCTGGGACCTTTGGATTTGGCTGTACTGGATTTCCCAGAAGGCACAGCCCTGTTCTGTCCGTATACTGCTTTGCAAAAGGACTTGAAACAGATTAGGTTTCTCACGGCTCAGATGGCTCTGGCTGTTATCAAAGTAGTCCCCCAAACTGATATGGATGTGCATGAACAACAGGGGGAAATTCAATCAATAGCTGATTTAACCTCAGAACAAGTAGGAATTATATGACAAGTGTCAGGTCCCTTGAATGATACCATTGCAAAGTGGACAGTGGGGCTTCTAGAAACACCAGGAGTGCTGGTTAAAGATTTTAACTTGATTGCTTGGACATCCACCAGTCCATCTGATCAGGCAGTTTTATCAGCAGCATGAGAGGAACCCCAGCTGCAGAAGGGAACTCGCAGCATTGAGTGTGAAGGACCCTGAAAGCATTACTGGCTCCCAAACTGTTGGGTGGTTATTTTACCTGGAATAACAGAAAGCTGAGGAAGGGCTAGAGCAATATTTATCAAGGAAGCACGCACTAGGTAAGAGGCTTGGGTTTTGTGTGGGAAGGAGCAAGCAGGCAGCCTAATTGGGAGGACCAAGAACAAAAACTTGCAGTGATGAATGGATTGGTACTGGCTGAGTGGACATTTACCTGACATATAAACACCTACATGCAAACATGAGTTCATCTGGGTCAGAAACTTGCAGTGCTGAGGAGAAAGTGAGGACTACAGCATTCCCTGATGCCAGCACTCTCGGGTAACTGGCATGCTCACCACAACTTACAGCCCTTTTCACAGACAAACTGAGGCTCTTCTTGGACAAAGTCAGGCTGTTTGCTCTCCCTTCGCTGAGCAGAGGCTCCAGAACATCGCTGCTCTCTTGCTTTAGAAATCCATTTCCAATTTCCAATGTGAATGTGCCTGGTCTATACTTGTATTTGTACTGACACTACCCTTTAGTTCAGAGGAATCCAGAATGGCTCCACTGAGTGGAGATTAAAACCTATATAAAGGGTAAATCCTGCTATAATAGCAAAGGCAGCTCTTGAGGACCATATGGTGCAACTGAGCTTGCCCAGACCACCTCACTGTGGTTCAGCGTACACGCATGCACCTTGTTGTGATAAGCCCATCATCTTCTCTTGGCCTGCATTTTGTGAAAGAAGGCAGCTTGGAATACACTATGAAATATTCTGGCCTACACACTAGACCACTCTGTATTTTTTTTTTGTCTCTCATGTTTGCACTCATCTATGAGGTGTTTAATCCCAAGCGTTCTCAATTTAGGCCGTGTTTAGTTGTTGGGTTTTGTGTGTTTTGGTTTTTTTTTCTTTTTTAAAAAGGACATCAGTGTTTTTTTCTCTACCTTCTGGTACTCAGCAATTCTGAAATAAATAATCCTTCCTTCTCGTAGCAGCTCCTGATAATATTAAGGAAAATATTCAGTAGAGTATCTCCTCCAACTAGTCTCCTGAAAATCTTTTACCTTATCAAAAATAGGTTGGTTTAGTCCAAGAGACATTGTGACAGACTGCTGTATTACATCAATTTTTTTCCCTGGATGTATTTATCTATATGGATCTTTTATTTTAAAATATGTTCTGGAGATGATTTAAGAGATGTTTAAAATCTGACTGCCAGCATAAACTGTAACTTGAATATGAACACATATTTTATGGCGTGCATACATACCAAGATTACATAAATATGTTGTGTCTTTTTAAGGATGTTAGTAGCATGTAATGGATTTTATACAATTTAGATATTTTTGTAGTCAATATTTTTTCAGTGGCTTTTTGCTCAAGACCCAGCCTGTAGCTCCTAATGCTTATAAGCCAAAGAGAAGAGGTTGGCAGGAACCAAGGAGACTGGGTATCTGACCTGTTTGTGACAAAACAGGTATAGAGAGAGAGCAAAATGAGAAAGGTAACACAGAAAGTATGAGGGAGAAAACAAATGAAAAGAAACAGAGTCTTTTTTTAAATGTAGCCATTTGAAGATATGTGCATGAGCTACTGTGCAAATATTAATACGGTGGGAAATCAAGTGGGCTGTCAGCCATATGCCACCATATCAGAGGAGCCCAAAAGAATTTCCTAATGAAGCTTATTTCTCATTTTCCACACAGCTGAAATGGGTGAAGTTGATGTGTTTGTCTGTAATTGAGTAAATTCACATGTTGCTACCGATAAATATTTAGAATCTGAGTAAGAAATTTTGGTGTTAATGATCTGATTTCCCCATTGAACAGGACACAGATAAAGCTGCAGCAACAAAAATCACTCTATAATAATGTCATGCATATCATTCAGTACAAAAATGGAAAAACCTCAATGTTCAATTTAAGGAAAAAAATATTCTGCAATGACTATCGCAAATGACAGGGACAGTAAATATGTCATTAAAGTGAACAGTTGCTACTGTATATGATGACCTGTTTAGGGTTCTCTTCTTTAGTTCTTCAACTTAATCTGATGATGCATATAAAAATGGAGAGAGTTTACAGGTTCTTTAAAATTTCTTTTAAAAATTGCTGCAGTACTTTCACAGAATGAACTCCCTTAGTATAAAACTCTATCAAAGGAGTGCAATTTTTTCACATGCAGGAAAACCCAGAATTTTTGTTTTAATGAGGAGAAAAAAAATTGTTCCATCACAAAACATGAGATGTCAAGCGATCCATTTGAATTATGCTTTATCAGAGTAGTTTGCTCCTGTCAATTACACTTCTATGCTAATGCAGAGCACGTCTGTAATCACACAATTTTACAAAGACATTCCAGCACTGTAACACTTTAAATAGCCACGTTCCAGTGCATGCTGAAGGATGCATTTTAACTCTTCAGAGAATCCATTAAGTACTCTGGGCTGCTGCTTATTGAACTACTCACAGAGATTTCCTCAACTAGAAGAAGATTTTGGAAGCAATGTTTTATAGTTATTCAGCTCCTGACTTTAAAGTGTCTATGGGATACTAAATTGGTTTGGGTTTATTCTAAACCAGTGTTTTAGAGAGACATGGCTAGTTCAATAATGGTCCCTACTATGTCTAGGCAACACCGATGATACATAAAAATGGAGATTCACAGATCAGGTATTTTGGAAATACTGCACTATTCGGGAAGTGATTACTTCTTGCACAACATCTAATTTTTAAAAAAGGCGTGTCAACACTGCCTCGTCAGAATTGTCTCTTGTAGCACATAGGGTATTTCATCCCTTTAAAATAAAAACTAGAATCTCAATAAAATTTAAAAGAAAGAGATTTGAAATACTATGTTCTTTAAGAAAAAAACCTGAAACACCCTTGCATGCCTCACTCAGTGCTCATTCACTTCAGCTACTCCATGAAAATCATTACTCAAAAGTGAAACATGCAAGTCATCACCTAAACTGAAAATACCAAAGTTAAACAGTAAAACAAATGCATTTTTAACATTCTTTCAGTTTTATAATTAAACATATTTGAAGCTTAAGTAATCCGATAAAAATTATGCTTACTCTGACAATATTCAATTAGAAATTTTATGTGTTAGCTAAAGTCACCTTCACCTAATTATGCAACATAACCTATGCCAAATTCTGGAGACTACAAGAGCTAACTAACTTATACTTAATAAGTTGATAGTCTCTAAATACAAGGCTATGCAAGACTACATAGAACTCAGACCAAATATACGGAAATGACATTCTTTAGTTATGATTCATACCATAGCCAGTATGATGAGATACTTTATTAAAAAAACCCAACCAAAACCCAACAGTGTCTGGTCCAGCCTGGCAGGTGTTCTTTGTCCCAACATAGTCACCTGTGCCTGAAGGAGTGAAGGAAGAAGGACCAAGATTGTGACCCAATGGTGAGTCTCAACAAAATGAAAGACAAACGTGTGGCCAGAAATTATGGCAGCCCTTCAATGAAAGTCCTGTGGACTAAGAAGTTGGCAGTAGGTGGCTCTTACCCACCACTGCTGTGGTGAACTCTGCAGACAGCTTTGCGTTACTTTAACTGAGGGGTTGGTCTGAAGAACTGCCCTTAGCTAAGATGACAGGTGGTGACAGTACCGAAAGGAATTTGAACTCTGTGTATTTTTGAAGTGTTCTGCTTTGATTACAGGTACTGTCAGTATCCTTCACACTGGCACCAGGACTGGCACTTTTGGCTATGCTCAATGTTTCTCACCTTCCTGAGCACGTAGAATTGCATTACTTATCAAGTGAGCCTTGATGGAGCTGAACTCCATCTATTGACTACGACCTTTTTCTAAGAACTCCACATATATTCAATAGACCAATGCCAAGAAAGTCCGTCACGTGCATCAGGCAGCAGTAAAAGGCTTGGAAACTACCGGTCTCCCTTTTGGCAGCTGTTTCTGTAGAGAGCCTTTGCATTCATGCTAACTGGCTCTCCCAGCTTGTGTATTCAGTATGGTACGAGAGCCTAAAGATGTGTCAATATATAGCATACAGAAACTCTGCATTTGCATTCAAACCACAACTGAATTGAGACTTGCTTACCACAGCTTAAACCTCTCCTTGTTCAACAGAAGCCAGCAAACACTGGGAGCTCTGAACTCACTGGCAGACATGCCGCATTATGCCTTACCGCGGGTAAGAGAAAACTTTCAAATTCCGTCTTCCCATCAGTCTCGAGAGCTCTCTCAGCTAGGGGCAGATTAGTTATGCATGAGCGAGGTATAGCTCCCCTTACCTGTTTCTGGTGTATGGCAAGCTGCCTCCCATTCCGGTCAAGTTCTTCCCACTCCGAAGAGCTGCTGACAACACCGCTGGACCGTGCATGCAATTGGTTTGTGGTGCGATTGGGAAAAGAAGGAAAAAAAAAAAAAAGAGTTGCTCT